GACGGCCGTCTCGCATGGTCTAGTGGCACAAGAAATCGGCTATAAAAACAGTGTTATTTTACGCTTTACACAAGTTTGAATCACTATTTTACTAAATCGTACTTTCAAGTGTGTACACTTGCTACCCATCCGCCTGATTTTACCGGCTCTCGCACATCGTTTATATACAGATGTTTGGTCCACTCCTATCATGCGCTTTGCTCACAATACTCAAACCCAATTCTGGGCTGTTCATTCGGTCTTTGCAAATGTGGTCAGTTTGCGTCGGCAACAACGAGTGGTTTTACACTTGTCGACTTCGTCTGTTCCATTCGCTGAATATTCAACTAACAAGGGTGCATAAAGCACATTCTTGATTTGACTTGATTGACTTGATCAGCTGCCGTCGCATCATGCGTCTTCCACACAGGATCAGAGTCACGTGAGGACAATTCGCCTGACTTTGTCCAGGATCAAAAGAGTGTCTTACTCACGACACAGCAACCAAATTCCTTCTTGCTCATCCGGCCGTGTAAGCGCGACTAACTTGCGCTCTCAGTGCTGATACGGCTTTCCAGTCCACTGGCCGCGCTTCAGTTGCGCTCGCGGTACTTAACAACTACACTCAGGAGTCCGAGTATAGCAGCAATGAGGCTGTGAAGTTTCCCGGACAATGGAGGGCACCATTACGCAGGAAGGTTGTTGAGTCAAGTGGCACATATGCCTGCACGGAAGCCTGTGGTCATCGAGATTATTTATTCGCCATCCGCTAGGTACTCGATTCTTGTCGCAGGAGTAAATGATCAGTGATTCTACAACCGGTTTAAATAGGCACTGACACAACGCCCTGTGAGTTCATGCATTTAATGGGGAATATCAGCTGATCAACACAGAACCCTCCAAGCTCTAAGACGCTACCGGTGATTATCCGCGACTGTTTATTCATCTCGCCTAGGAAACAAACGAGACCTATTCAGTTACCTCCACAATGAAAGCATTCTCCGATCCGTAACCTGTGGACGCGCAAGGTAGCATAAAGCTATGACGAACCAACTAGTGATCGGTTGACATTGCGTGATCGTGACAACTGGCGATGCGCTGGATCGATCAGACAGCAGTATCTACCACCCCAAGCTGGGAATTTGAGTCCTAGCTTATTCCAGAGTTTGGGCGTCTCTGCAAGGTCTCAGTTTGTGTACACCTTGCTAGCACACACCAGTGAAGAATCAGTAAGGATTGCTGGTGTACCGCTAATACCATCACAATTTGTTGGTGTGGGTGTACGCATTGAAGTAATCAACGCTATGTGGCAGGCAACTCTGATCTCACTAACGCCATATGCTGTGTGCTTGCCAATCGCATTCAGATGATAAAGCCAGGGTCATTGATTGTCACATCAGGTTCAAAGATTCGAAAGGTAATACTAAGGTACCTGTTTGATGCAATGAATCGAGAGAAATAGTGTTACTCGTGAACGTTTACGAGGCCTCCAGAATCGAGCCAGAAAATCTTCAAAATGGAATGTTGAAAATGAATAAAAATCCAGCTAGCTCAGCGCTCTGATTACTCAGTTGGTTGACGGAAAAGATTAATCTGTGTCATTATTTGTCATTAAGGTGCAGATTCTCTAGTGGTAGGATTAGTGAGCTGTTTGACCGCAAATATTTCGACACAAATAGGGCAGACAGCAACACTGCATGAAAATCCGCATTCATGCAGGACCCGCAAATCACCACTCGTCTACCAGGATGTGTGAGCAGAAGAAACAGTGAACGAGAATGGCAATCAAGATAAGCATTATACACCCGGGTGGGAGCATTTCCAGCAATGCACACTAATACTGTGGATATACAACGACATATAATCGGTGGGGAGATAACACTAATATATCAACAAATAGATGATACCTTGGGAGGGGAGACAGAACGGAAGCACGGAACGTAGAACGTGGAAAGCTTATGCTCCCCAGAATAAGCTGCTCAGTGATAACACGGAACTGGTTAGTCTGTGCGCAACACACATCCGTATGATACCGGAGGACTGCGCTTCAATCAGGCTAGGTAATGATCACGCTACGTGAGGCATGAGCGGTAGTCCATTCCAGAAGTGGTCATCTGTGCAAAAGAGTGAGTGCAATAGGATCACTGAGCTGTGAAGCAAACAAATCGGAAGTGCGTTTTCGCACGGCCGACAATGAAAAACACCAACACAGATCCGGTGATGACTTTGTAATGGAGTCCGGCAGCAATAGTCACAGGGTCGTATGGAACAGTAGACAATATGCAGGTTCAACAACCGAGGATGAGATTAGTCGGAAATGGCCTATTCGGATAGAAACGTATGCGAAAAACCTGTGGTGACGTGGGCGCGTGTGGCATAGTGTAATAGCCGGGAGAAGGACTGATGGAACGAATGCAACTGGTCGTTTGACAAGTTGGAGAGTGACCAAAACGGAGTTTCGTGGGAACATACAGTCGCCACAATGCCAAGTGGCTATACACACTCGGTTTAACTTCATCGTGTGAACGCCTGGTGACCAGATCTTGTGTAGCGATAAATTTTTGCGGAGGCGCAGACGTATGTGCTTCACTTGTACTAGGGAATGTTGCAGACGATTCCAAAAAGGGAAAGCCAAGAAAGATCGTGTTGGCTGAACTCATTGGCTGACAGAAAGTGCTGCATGTTAATGACGACGACGAGTAATGCTCAATCAACCAGTACTTGTGCAACTCATTAAATAGCAAACAGCGCATTTCAATGCTGTTTTTGACAAGCACAAGAGTGCAGAACAGTTTCGAATACACAAAGAGGAACGCCAGATGTGTATCCTGTTGAATGAAGAACGATGAGGGTAAAGATTCTCGCAGGTCTCAAGAAGCACCGCTTTGTTGCAGAAGTTGCAAAAAGCAGTTGGAATAACGACTGACATCGAGAAACACCGGTCCATCCGAAGTAAGTGAGTGTGTAATCCAGACTTAGAGAAACTGGATGGGTTCAACGTCTATATCCCAGCGAAAGAAGCATGCGCACGTCAAAGTGCAGAAAAGGAACAGGCAGTTGTCGGTTATCTCGTGCTGGTTTAAACACGTATTTGAGTCGGCGAAAGACTGTGTCAGGTGATCAGCACATTCCTTCAAGATAATAGAAAACAGTTCATACGGGATGGAGTCTTTCGACTGCAGTCCGATCGCTTCCCCGTGCATTTCAAAGTTATTCGCAGGTGGGTTATCTGAGAGCAGCTGTAACTCAGCAGATGACATATCAGAAACAGAATTATTGCCATGGTCACAAAATATTCTTCCCCGTTCGGAGTAAAATGCACGATCTCGTGTGTGACTCAGCTTAACTGTTTCGGCATTCATCACATTTCTCGGTAAGAATTATTTGCTAATATGGCTGGTAAGTAAATATGATTGAGATGCCGCAACCCGATTTTCACAACGGTCGACAAACTTTACTGAGGCAACGTATTTGCGTCGAACAGCATTTTCTTTGAATCTGTGAAGTCCTCTTAGATGTTTAGAGGAGAGCCTATCTGCCTAAATGGAAATTGTTTCATTTGGACAGCAGATGTCGGATTGACAGTTTGGTCAACTGGTCAACTGCTCATAATACTTCGATACGTTCACGTCATAAAGTGAACTAAGATACAAAAGGAAAGGCATCAGCGGTAAGCAGTACCGATGCTTCGCTACTGCGCGTGCACCACCAGTCGTTCGTTGGCTAAGGATACTGGAGGGTCGTCCGGTCCCTGCGCAGGCTCGAACCCGTGTCCTCGGATTACAAGGTAGGTTTGCAATTCTTAAGGTTACGGGCCGGTATGTGCTTAGGATGAGCGAATCGAGTGGCCACTACGGTGAGATTGTTCGCCCAACCCTCCCACAGCAGACTGCATATAGCAAACGCGAGGCACTCGTCGACGTGTGCAAATAAGAAGAGACACTGAGCACGTTTTAAGGAAACGCTATTGCATAAATTCAAAGTTTGAGCTAGCCGTTCATCAGACAAACACATACAATTTTAGGCAGGCTTCATCGGCTACTGGTGGTGAATCTGATAAGCGGGGACACTGGGTACGCCTACGCCGCACAGGCCAGTCAAACTTCCTAACATTGAAATGAAAAAAGAGGCAAAACTGTTCAGCTCGTGTGTCGGAGAACATAATGCAGCCAATTGACGATGAGTGCGAACGGCGCACTATGTTTGGCACTACAGTGTCCTGACAAAAATAGACAAATTTAGCAAACCAGAGGCGAGGCGGTGCTACACAAAATATGGATCGATAAAATGGGCAGTTACAGCTAACAGTTTTACGCGTTTTATGCCAAAGCTCGTTCACAGATGAATGTTAATTAATCATCAGATAACGACATGCTGTGATGTAGCCAATACAGCTGGTACATCGTAGGAAAGATGGGATTACACAAGTGAATAAATAAGCTAACTCAAAAATCGAAGTGTACAGGGTGAAAAGAAGACACAAGCAGAATTAGTACAGTAGACAGAAGGAATTGACGCCTAGATGTAATTCGCGAATACCGATGCGTACAATTTCCAGTCCGGTCCGAATAGACAAACAACAATGGTCACCTCTTGACATTGGGCGTCGTAACCCCCAAGTATGGCTGTGATACGATTTCGAAATCTCAACTGTAAACCCCTGTGCTAGCTGGACTAAACACGCTGCGTGCAACACCAGAAAACTAATTATAGTCTCGTACCGGACGCATAAGGATAGCACCCAAAACTCCCCATCACCAAGTCAACAACGATGGGGAGGCGGAACCCACAAAATACTGTTTTTGCTGCGCAGCAGGGAACAAGTCGTGTGATCGAGCCAGTTCCCTCCTTCGATCTTCAATTGTAGATCGATCCAATGTTGCGCCACGCTTCTCGGCTTGTATGCTGGCTCGCCGTAACTTACCATGCACACACCCCAATGCGCAGATAATGTGTCAGAAATTGCAGTTGAAGGAGTGAAAAACTAAACCAATAACGAACAGATAAAGCATTAAACATACTGTCATCATCAGTATGAAGTTTGCGCTTTAGCTTCTCCATCTTTTCCTGATCTCGACCCACAGTTCCCGTCCCAACGGTGGTCCTGCGTAGAGTCAGACCCCGATCTCTATCTGTCTCCTCCCTCTCGCGGACCAGTGAGTACTCGTCATGATTGTAAATACCTAAGGTGAGATGGAGAGGACGGCTGCAAGTGGACTCAGATGAATGGAAAACATGGAAGAAAAACATGAAAACAGAGAGAAGTAAGATTCCGATGAGTTCATAATTCTGTTAGTTGTTCACACCATGGGGTACATCGTCTCACTGGATAGATTCACAGTCCTATCACAAAACTTCATGTAGTTGAGTTGGCTTGACGTAAACGAGAAAACCGACTCACGCATTCCATAACCAAGAACGGTGAAACAAATACACTAACAGCACAGGATTAGTAGGGTCGGTACTCACAAAATGACAGCGAAATTCGAAGAGGCACTCGACTTCACTCATAGTAAAAGGAGCCACAAAATAATTAACCGTATCAACACAAGGCAATAAAAATGATACTAGACACACAAAGCACAGGTGTCACAAAAAGGACATGAATTAGTCCTTTTGAGGCAAAACAAGTTATAGATGCATTGACAGCATGGTCCCGGAGTGACGAAACTTGGATAAGGCCTCTGAAACATCATCTACAATCTAGAAGTTTGGACAACACGGAATGCGTTCCTAGTGAAGACTGAAAAAGACAAACGGTTTTGCTTGTGCTGATGGTAAGTTCGAACTTGACCGCCGCCGAAACGAGAGCCGCCATCATATACTGCGACTCATTCACGCTGCGTGCAAACAATGCACAGTCGTCGACAACGAACATCATCCGGATGGTTGTCACACGCACTCGGGTTCTAGCCCCAAAACGATGGATGTTCAGCAACCCCCCATCTACATGGCGCTAGAGACAAACACCGAAATCATGAGCACTAAAAGCACAGGATATCAGGACAGTTAGGTAAATAGTAAACAGAGTAGGGGTTAAGGCGCAGTTTTGAATTATACAAGTTACAACATTAAAATCATGCGAGGTTTGTCCATATAGTTGCACGTTCGCCCACATGACACTGTGCAGGCATTCAATACAAATATAGCCGAGCAATCAAACTTAGCCAACAGTATCTCGCAGTACACTGTGTCTTATGCGAGTATAATGACTGATTTCGCTCACGGTAGTTCTCGTGCAATTGACGAGCCGCGAACACCATATCAATGGTGCCGAGGCACGAACAGAAACCGCATTACAGAGTGATTAGCACTCGAGACGACTGAGGCCTAGTTCAGAAATAACAACCGCCTCTTCATGTGCGTTGCGGAAGTCCGCCTCCCGGACAACCTGAGCAAGTCGGTATTCATAAGCACGGAGGTGGTGAGGACCGATCTTACAAGTTCGACGGCCAGCTACATCCCACGCCTTCCGTGAAGGATCTAGGTGTACTCTCATGCTATGATTTGAAGTCCATTGACAACATGAACAGGCTATTTCGTGACGGACTGCGCATGCTTTGGGTGCTCAAACTCAGCTTCTGTAGTTCGTCCAAAGAAATGGCCACTCCCATCTTCTCCGTCATAAGACCAATACTGGAGTACGGTTCACCCGCATATGTCCATACACTCGAGGCGAGGCACAGAAGATCGGACAGATCCAACACGTCGCTACCACGCTCATTTCAAGTGTACGACAACTACCATACGAAGACCGGTGTGAGAAACTAGGGCTCCACAACTTATCCTGTCTCATCATGACCTACCGCATATTACATCTCGGTGATTTCCCCATGTTGAGGCCGCAAATTCACTTGCGAACGCCATGAAGCACACGCAGACACCAGTACAAGCTTGTGGTGCCAGAGGTAAAACGATTAGCCGATTCCCTGTGCTTCCAACGGAGAGTGGTAAATGTTTGGAACAGTCTGACAGAAAAAGTCATGAATGCCAAATCTGTGCAGTAATTGAAAACTTTTTTGGATTTATAATTCACTATCATTTGATTCAGAGAACGAACGCACACTAACAATGACATCTTACATTTGTGAGCCCAGTGAAAATGTAAGTCAAACATTTTTAAATGCTACATAAGAAGTTGAAGAACCAGGAGTGCCAAATAAATATTATAACATCTTTGATTGTATTACGATGGAGTTGTGCATATTTAAATGTCTACTTGCTCCCACAATACAGCGTTCAAAATTCAGTCACCTTTCGTTCAAGAACCTGAATAACAAGGCGAATGAAAATGATTCGAACAATCACCTTGCAGACATAACTTCGCAAGTTGATGCCACGATAAGTGTTGGCATATTATTTGGGCTCTTTGGTCTTGTGCCACACAAGGGCCAGCATAAGGATGGTGGCATTCGTTTCAGGATCCGCCTGTTTCTAGGACTGCGAACAGCCACAGGATGTTTGGGCCTAAAGACGGCTCTATGTGAACGCCTTAGAATGTTGGTAAGATGCGTATTGTTGGCAGCATCCGGTTTCGGATTTGCTTGTCACTGTGGCCTCCACAGGATGGCTGCACCTACAAAGGGACCATGGATGGCTTGCGCTGTACCATCCACAGCTCCAACCACACATCCCATATCCAGTGTAAACCAAAGGAATAAAGCCGGGAGGCATGTGTATGGGATCCACGTTTCATCAACGGAGACGGCCCACACGCCTTCAACATGCAAAGCGGCAGAATCCCTGTCTATCTTAGTTGGGCAATTTGAGTACCAGAGGTACACAAGGCAATGGCTAGGCCGTAGTCCGCTCCACACCGGATGGAACCACTCTTCCAGCTTAGCACGATCACGAGGACTGTGCACCCCATCCCCCTGTGATGATAAGATACTACACTTAGATGCCAGTCGCTTAGCGATCGGTCGAGCTTAACGATTTTGGGCCAACAGTCTGAAAGCTGGTCGATCGCTGCAGAAGCGAACTGAACGATAGCATTCAATTGATTTGGATCGACACTGAACGAAGCTCGAACGCTGGCCAAGGATGTAATAGGAAGCAGATTTTTTCTACATAAGTGAGTGATTCTAATTGACTCGAGATATAAAATGAGTCTACGTTCTATAAATAAAAAATTTCCGATCGAGGCCCAGACTTTGACTTTTTGATGCACGGAGGGCCAATTGACACCCTCCAGAAACGATTCGGTTTGCTGGATCTAATATAACCGAGGCAGAGAGTAATAGACAGGTAGGCACTTCGTCAAGATTCATAACAAGCGCAACCCACACTGGGGATATCAAACAACCAACATAGAATTTTAAGGAAAATAATCAAGCAAAAGTGACAGGGATTATGTAGCAGAATGGCAGAGCTGAGCAAATGAAATAAAGTGTAATGACTTGTATCCAGGTTAAAAAGAGCTAGTATAATTGTAAGTCGGTGTAGCTCAATTACCGTGAAGGAGTCTGAGGTAAGCAACATCGACCTTAGCATGAGGCAGCATAAGAACACGAAAGAATGAAAGAATTTGTATATGCAAACTTCATAGTAAATGTGCGACAGAATGACAGAACTGAGCAGCGCTAAAGCTGTTAGTTCGGATCTAGTGTACGTGTGCTCTAGGGAAAATAAGAGTTTGATTTAGAGGATATCAACTAACTAAACAAAATTAAGAAACAAATTCGCGTAGAATAAACGGGGATTATTTGTAAGTAGTAGGGGGCTTCAGTGGTTCGTTTGTGAAGATTCGTCGCAGTTAAACCCAGGCAGACAACCACTACATCCAGGAAAGTTTTCCTGGATCTGTGGTAGCTGTTTGCCTGTGACGAATCTTCACAAAAAAAACGGGGATTATGCAGTTGATTAAAGAAACTGAACAGAAAAAATAAAATGGATTCAGTCAGATCTAGTGTAATGCGGAACAAGCCAAGTTTAAGTCACTCTAGCTCAACTACGACGAAAAAGCACATCAACCTCAGCATGAGGAGTATACATGGAGCCATCGAAAAAATACGCAAACCAAAGTAAAATCTAGGCAAAAAAAATACAGAATCAATATTTGCTCATTTCTAACACCGCACGTTTTGCTTATTCTGTCATTTTCCTTGTTTGAAGGAGCAGATACGCGAATCAAGACTATTCTGCATGCTGTTCTTCTGCTAATTCTGACTGTGAGCTGTCTTCAAGCACCGTGAATCAGTAGGAAACAGCCAGAATAACTTCGGTGCACAAAGATGGATAAGTTTCGCCGATTGCGCAAGCGTCTTTGCTATAGAAAGTTTTTGAAAAACTGCGTATTCCGAGAATTTTTATGGCCACCCCTACTGACGAGGTCTGTTAGTTGGCACACAAGCCTTCACGCTCTACGCTGGATGCAGTACATATTTTGTTCACCCTGTAGCATCTGCAATGGATCAGAGATGTAAATCCGTAAGGTTTCTCTTCCTTTATTATTCCAACGCCTTCTGGAACATGAAAAGACCCCAATGTTTTTTTAGTGTGCCCTCTGAAAACAGAGTCCATTCGGATAAGTATAACCCGTTAGGTGACTATATTACGGATCGTACTCACTTTACCCAGTTACACAGTAAGAAACTCCCTGTTCTCCTTGTCGACTGTGGTGTTTTGCAAGGGGCGGTTTTCCTTAAACGTCGAACGGCTCTCTATACAGTCCAGGTTTATTCAAAGCAAATATGGTATGCTGTGTTGGGGTGTATGGCACCCACCGTACAGGCACCCTCAATGCTTCAATGTGGATTAGGAGATGTGGTGGAGTGGTCTTCATTCAGATGCAGTGATGTAATATTTTATTTTCTTTGTGACGAGCAGTTGCGGTCTCTCATAGATATCTACCCACCCTTATGTGAACGAAAACCCCATACCCAAATCATGCACAGCCAAGTATCTCGGTGCCTATGATCCAAGAACCATTTTGGTACACATATCTTTGCGAAACTTTTCATAAAGTCCGAGAACTTTCCTTTTACGCTCCCAGACTTAAGCTGCTTTCAGTTCCCCGTAGATAATCGTTGAAGTTTGTGACATCGTGTGATGTACCCCATTGGTTATACTGTTCCACTTTCATCGCCCTTGGACTGCTTCAGAAAGACTACACCTTATTGGTACGGACGATAACGCACGTCTCTACATGCAGCGGTTGATTTAGAGATTCTCTAGTTGATGT